CCCCAAAACCCCAAAACCCCAAAACCCCAAAACCCCGCGTTCTTAATAACTAATTGAAAATATTATTAAGGAGTGTTTCATGGGGAGAGAAGAGAAATTGAGAAAGAAGAAGGCAAAGAATAGATTCATGAAGAATAAATATATGAAAGAAGGTAAGTGGAAGGCTTAGGTTAAGGCTGTGGAAATTAATGGTGTTTTAGGAAAGAAACAGAAGACTGTAGAAGAGGAAGTTGAGGATGTGTCTGACCAAGAGCAGGAAAAAGAAGTTGTGCAGGTGAAACAAGTTAAGAAAGAGAAAAAACAGCATAAAGAGGAGAAGAAGGAGAAATCTGAGAAGAAACAAAAATCAGCAAAGAAAGAAAAAAAAGCTAAAGCAGAAAAAGCTAAGAGTGAAAAGAAAGATGAAATTAAAGATGAAGCTAAAGACGAAGCTAAAGAAGAGACTAAAGTTGAACAAGAGGAGGTTGATAAAGAAGATGAAAAGGAACAGAATGAAATTAACCAGACTAAAGAATCCTTGGATAAGCTTCCTGGCAATCAAGAGCTTACTGCCTTCCAGCTAGCCGAGAGAAAAACGAGGACTGTTTTTGTTGGAAATATCCCTGTTGGAATGGCTCCTAAGAAGGTGTGGAAAGTGTTCAAAGGATGTGGAAAGATAGAGAAGATCTGGTTCAGAAGTATTGCTCCTTCTACTATGGTCACAGACAGAAGAAATATCGGTAAGATTTGGCCTTGATTATGTATAGTGAAAGGAGGAATGATAGGCACTCAGAAGAACAACAAAAATGCCTATATCTTATTCGCAGAGGGATCTAGTGTTGCTGAAGCTATCAAACTTAATGGATATGTTGTCCATAACTCAGATTTCACAGAGCAATTTCATTTAAGAGTGGATTCTGAAGAGAAGAAAGATGATTTCAGCTCAACTATTTTTGTTGGAAATCTCCCATTCATTATCAACGAGGAGGATCTGAGAAGACATTTTGAAAGACTTGGAACAATTGTAAACATCCGTGTTGTCCGAGATAATAGAACCTGTGTTGGAACTGGAGTAGCTTTCATCCAATTCTCTACTAAAGAAGAAGTTGCTCAAGCTGTAGAGAAATGTAAAAATGAGAAGAGATTTGGAAAATTTAAAGGAAGAGAACTCCGAGTTAAGAGAGCAGTCTCTACGAAAAAGAGAGAGAAGAAAATTGAAAAGAAGCTTGAAAAGAAGAGGGATACTAAGAATAGAAGAAAATCTCACGGACCTACTGGACAGACTAGAGAGTTCCAATCTAAATTTGTAAAGAGCTTCGATAGAAGAGAACAAGCAGGTGGACCTAAAGTCTATAATGACATTAGAATGAAAAAGCATAGGAGAAATAAAATGATGAATGAAATGATCGAAAACCAGGGAGAGTCCAAGATCAGAGAAAGATCTAGGAAATTTGTCACAAAGAAAGTTGACTTCAGAGTATCTACAGTTGCATAATCTATAGGGCAAAAGAAAACAAAGGAGAGAAGACCGTAAGGAGATGAACACTCGTAACATGAAAAAGACGGTCAAGAGAAGTGAAATGTAGTCTATAATTTTTGAAATGATGGCTCAGCTTCAATATCGTGTACAGAAAATGGGGTTTTGGGGTTTTGGGGTTTTGGGGTTTTGGGG